GAATGTTTTCCACCTTCTAAAGACAAACCACAGGACTGACCTGTTCAAGAATCTTTTACATCTGAATCTGAAATTCAAAGAGGTTTTTTTCCTAAAATAACTTTGACATGAAGGATAGCAAGTGTCTTTGATGTCTTTGGATAAGAAATAATGGAAACAAGTATATACATTTACTAATTTTATAACTCAGAGACTATGAAAAAGAACATATTAATTAAGAGTTAATTAACATAAAAATTAACTCTTTTATTTGCATATTGAAAAGTAGAAGATTTAAATTATGTTTCCCTGAGTAATTGTTCTATTTATGTGTACATGTCCTGCTCACATACATATGTAGCTGAATGTCCTCCTCCGGCTTGGTGTGGGGAGAGGTGAGACACACCCCACCACAGGCAGAGATGTGAGGAGCCCCTGGGGTGGGGAGGTGGGACCTGAGTTTGCAAGGACATTTACCATAGAGGAGCACTCCAGGGAGCTGATGGTTGGCAGTGAGAGTAGCTTTGCCTAGCTACAGTTTGTTTCTGAGTGTTTGAAAGCAATTTCAAAGCCTGCTTGCTCTTCTGTTAAGTAAATAAAGGCTTAGGGTCAATCTCAAAGAACAGCTAATCAGATTATGTTCACTGGTAGCAGATTTAGTTGTGAATATAATTCCCATATGAAATTGTTCTGAGCCATGGGTTCACCCTGCTTGGTGGACAAATATGAGATTTGCCAGGAGACAACACGTTGTGGGATCTTACCCTCCTTTTTGAAGTGCTAGTGCCAGGAAGATCTTAGGGACCATAGTTAAAGATATTTTGAATTTATTTTTTTTAATTGTTATTATTTTAGTTGTAGATGGACACAATAGCTTTATTTTATTTTATGTGGTGCTAAGAATGGAACCCAGGGCCTCACACATGCTAGGCAAGCTCTCCACCACTGAGCCACAACCACAGCCCCATATTTTGAATTTATTAACTCAAAAGATACAGGTTTCACCTTCTAAGTAAGCTCCAGAGAAAAACAAATGAAATTGCATGAAAATAATCTTGTGGAGAGGCCATGGGCTTAGAGCCAGCCAACCTCTGGCAATTAGGCGCAGAAGGACATCTGGACCAGTTTTTTCTTAAGCTTCAGGACTATCTTGTACCTTATATGTAAGTTATAGGGATCAATTCACTCCAACAATATTGTGAGGAATAACTGAGATACATATGAGAGACCTCCAAGTAATTATCAAATATATGTTTTCTTCTTCCAGATTGATTCTACAGACATTTAGCTAGGCATTTGTTACACAGGAAGCACTTTGCTAGATATTTGGCAGAAGCAAAGAAGAATAAGGCCTATATTTAGCTTAGAGAGCTTACACTGAAGTGGGGAAGATAGGAATGCCTGTGACTGCAGCCCACCAGCTCCGGCCACATTGGCCTCCATGCTATTCTTGGGACATTTAGCTTGTTCCTGCCTTAGCACTGCACTCTGTCCCCTCTCCCCAGGCCTCTTATCTCCTACTCATTCACCTCCTGCAGAGCTATACTCACATATCATCTTCTCAGTGAGACTTTGCCTGATCACTCTGTTTACAAATTCGTGGATGCTATTAATCTTGATCCATCTTCCTCATTTGGTAGTTTTTCTTTGCCGTAATTAATATGATTGTGAGTGTGTGTGTATGTGTGTGTTTTCTGTCACCTGTGTTCCTTTTATCTCTTCAGTGTAAACACCATGAATGATTCTTTACTGCCCATCCCATTGCCTACAACAGTGCCTAGTAGGCTCTTAGTAAATGTTAATGAAATAAATGATCAAATTAACTAATTTCAATTACAGAGAGGGATATGTTGAAATTCCAATGGTTAGAAGTAGTACAGAAGGTATGTTAGAGCCTGTATTTAGATTTTTGCTGCTGTTCTGTCAAATGATCTTGAATTTGGTGCTTAAACAATACAAATGTATTATTTTACATTTCTGTGGGCCAGAAGCCTGACACAAGTCTCACTGGGTCAGAATCAAGGTGTCAATGGGGCTGGCTTTCCTTTTAAATAAGCAAGATTTTTTTCCCTAGAGCCTAAGGTTTTGACTGCCAGTAACAAAATATAAAATGGAAACATTTAATTATGAATGACTGTGATTGTTGAGTAAGGAAAACAAGATGATCAAACGGACACTAAATTGGCTTTGAGTGGGGATTCAGAGGGAGACTGATACCTCCTTTCTCAAAGACATTTGATTACCTTTGCCTTTCTATGTATAAAAAGCTAAGTATGGATTTAGAATTTCCTAGAAGTAAGATGTACTTATGGTATCTTTTTAAAAACTACTTTATTGTGTTTTGTCCGTGTTTAGCACACATGCATGGAGGCCATAAAGCCCAGGTTCATGGGCACACTCAACAACACTCACATCTCCTTATGTGTACAGCTACTGCCTCGCCTACTATTGGGATCTCACTTCTGTGGTTCTCAGTGACCTCAGTTTTTTCTCCCCTGTCTCAATACACCTGAGGGATTTGTACCTCTCCACTAGCAACACAGACTTCCTCTGGCAGTGCTCTCACAGGAACCAGGGGCTGGGGATGTGGCTCAAGTGGTAGCGCGCTCACCTGGCATGCATGCGGCCCGGGTTCAATCCTCAGCACCACATACAAAGATGTTGTGTCTGCCGAGAACTAAAAAATAAATATTAAAATTCTCACAGGAACCATTCTGTCCCCCCAGTAGGCACATTCAGGATTTCTAAGGAAATGCATGTAATGTGAAAAATGTCCTCCTTCACCTTTCCTATCACCCCACACTGGCCATGATTCAACTTCCTAGGGTGGTTCTCCTTCCTGACTCCCATGCAGTCATGTGGACATGGAACATCTGGATTGAATAGTGTCTGTTGAGCATTTCCTGCTTTTTGAGTAACTTATTTAAAGTAGTGTTGTCCATCAGAACTCTCCACGGTAACAGCACTGCCCAGTATCTGTGCTGTCCAATGTGGTTATCATAACACTTGTAGCTGTTGAACTCTTGAAATGTGGCTGGGACAACTTAGGGGCTGGACTTTTTATTGTATTTAATGGGACTAACCTAAATGTAAATAGTAGGTTGGGGCCATAGCTCAGTGGTAAAGCACTTGCCTAGCATGTGTGAGGCATTAGGTTCGATCCTCAGCACCATATAAAAATAAACAAATAAAATAAAGGTATCATGTCCATCTACAACTAAAAAAATATTTTTAAAAAATGTAATAGCCACTTGTAGCTACTATGTTGGACAGTACAGCTTTCCAACTTTTTTGTTTCCAAGAATAAGACTTGCCTAACATGCTAAGGAGTTCATAATGATGTCTACAAGAAGTAGCCATGTATGTGACAGGAACACAGCCTTTCAGAATCAAAGAGACCTGGTTTTTAAGTGTTGGCTCCATGCTTGTGAGTTTGGGGCAAGTCACATAATCTCTCTGAATCTGGTTTTCAAATTTAGTGTACTATCAGGGAAGGGAATAGCAGATGCCCTCTGACCT